GTAGTAAAATAATAAGTTTCGTATTGTATCTAATATAGGTACATCTATAAATTAGTTTATTAATGAATTAACCACCATAACCAAATCGTTAACGCTCGACTCGCAATCTGAGGGTCGCGGGTGTGAATCCCCGTCTCACCAGATATGCTCGCCCTTTCAGCCGTGGGGCGTTATAAAGTGACGGTCAATCCCACTATTCGTTGGTAAAAGAGTAGCCCAAGAGTTGGCGGTGGGTGGTGATGACTAGCTGCCTTCCCTCTAGTCTTACACTGCTAAATTAGGGACGGCTAGCGCAGATAGCCCTCGTGTAGCTTTGCACGAAATTCAGAACAAACAAACAAACAGTCTAGTTCAGTAAAAACTGAACAGTTTTTAAAAATATATTACTGAATCAGTTATTTCTTAAATTATAACAAAATCCAAGTTGTAAACATGATTTCTGGATAATTAAAAATAATAAAACATTAAAAAATTTAAATAAAAAACAATTAGCAGATACAATACAAACTTATTATTTTACTATTTTATTTACAACTATATCAGCCTTAACCACCTGGCCATACAGGGCCTACTGAACTAGAAATAAAACGAAATTTAATGGGAGATTTATGTAGTTTAGGAACGGCATATAGATACGGTAATTCTGAATATGGATTTACTTTAACATCAAATGTTTTATAGCTTTCAAAGATTGTTAATAATAGCATCTTTAGACTTATTTTCTAATTGAAATGTTTGTTTAGTATTTATTTCATTAGTTACAAATTGTGCATAAAAACGTTTACAGATAAAACCAAAATTACAGTTGGTTTTATCAATAGGCACGATAATATATTTTTCTTGTATTTTAGCGATTTTAGTTTTAAACTGACAAAAATTTAAATCTCTTGGATATGATTTTAAATCAATAAAATCTCATTTATGTTTAATTCTATTAATCACATAATATCTCCATTCTAGAAACCAATTTGAAGGATAATGTGTAGAATAATTAAATTTGAGAATATAATCATTTATGTGTTTCGTTATGTAATTTAATATATTTGTTTTACTACATTTGGTAGCTATTCTATGTTTACGACCTTTTTCTATGATTTTTTTGTAATGAGTTATATTTTAGTATATCCAAGTTACCAGTAATAACATGTTTTTGAAAAGAATCTGCCAAGAAATATAAGTAACAATCACCTGATAAATTTTTCACATTATGTATATTTAATTTATTAAAAAAAATCTTCATAATTATATATATAAGAGGTCCTGCGTTGTTTCTATTTTCCTTCAATTTCTATGTAATATTACAATTATATATATATATATTTGCTGAAACCGAATTCATTTTTACAGATCATTCGGAAGTCATGTGAGGGAACAATGTATTCAGTCTGTAACCATGAATTTTGACTCGCATGTTTTTTGGATGGTTGGTGAGATCACTATGACTGAAATCAATATGTGCTGGGCAGAGTTTAAACCAATACGTTGTTCCTCGACTTTGATAATAGAGGTTAAATAAAGACTTCAGAATCTGGTCGTTTCAAAATGAATGATATTGTGGTCAATAAGAAGCAGTCGTTTCGTGTCATTTCAGTATATTGTGTTTATGAAATACGTTTTCTACTTGAAATGCTCATTTTTCGAGAGTAGGGCTTCATAAATAGACAAGCGGTATCAAACTATCATGACTGAAAGATTCATTGCTGCAATCGGTACTTATTGTAATAGCAATGCTAGTATTTCTGAAAGGCAGGAAAAGCATCAGCGTGAGATAGCGTAGAATTTAGAAATATTTTAGTCCAGATCCCGCACGCGAGTTGACAACACAAAATTTAGCAAAAATGAATGTTTTTCGTCTCTGACGCTTACGTATTACCCGTTGTCGCTTATAAAGATCTACACTTAGAGGGTTATTTTTATGAAACACACACATACATATATACTTTAATATATATGTGTTTGTGTTGTTCCGAAATGTTATTATTACTTGCGGAGGCATTACGCAATATATGTACATATAAAGGAAGATAAAAAATAACTTATAGGCCTTCTGTTTAGAATCCAGTAGGTAAAAAATAGGTACTTAGACTTTCTCAAAGGTAGAAGCCACGCCGCGACAGATGTACCACCTTTCAGGCCGTTCCTGTTTGCATGAGACAAACCCAACTCTCCTAACTGGAATATAATGAAAAGGGCTAAGATAGAGTGCTTTAAAACCCATTATTCCAAGTTCTACCATTCACTATCCTTGCCCCGATAATGGGCTTGGCAGCAATCCGGAAAAAACTGCAAGATAAAAGTTAATAGTAATCCAAAGACCAACGGAGTGTATATTATAACTCTCTGAAAGCACAACTCCCAAACAACTACCTCCACCAACTTTCGTAGTTATTAGGCATCGTTCGAAAATCTGACGAAGTCAACTACCTTTTGCAAAATAACCTTTACTTGATTTCATTTTTCTTCTGTATTTTTGTTAGTGTATTTGTTTTAGAAATACAGGTTCGTGTACCGTTTATTATTACCTTTACAAATGTTGGAGTTTTACAGCTTTAGCTACTACACGCTTGTTGCAAAACAAAAAACTAGTAATAATCTTAAAGATTAGATTGTATTAAATACTTAATATGTTTCTTGATAAGAAGGGATAAAATTCCGAATTTTAGTATCATAATCCATCAAACCTACCGCAGCGTCTGCGGACTTACAACGTTAGAAACCGGATTTCTATACCCGTGGTGGGCAGAGCACAGATAGCCTATTGTGTAGCTTTGTGTTTAACTACAAACAACAACAACTTACCGCTGAGCCATTATTAACTACGTTGTAACCATATGCTTAAAGCCGTCTTCACTGTTCAGGCGAAATGAATTTAGTTATGGTTCTGATCTTAATACTAAATCACAAATATTGTAAGATTGATAACATATGTAATTAAAATATACTTCTTTCTGTAACGTAATGGCTCGTAAATAAATCCGCATAATCATAAGTGATTAGGATTACAAATATTTATAGAAAAAACACTTTTCATGATTATCTTTGGAAAAAAACAAGGTTTGTCGTAATTCCTAAATGTTACATTTTTCTTAAGCTTCATGTGAATTGATTTTGCTTTGGCAGCATTTTTCGGAAGAATAACGTGATTTAAAAGATAGTGCACTAACTTTTGAATTAACATTAATCTTCCTCATATATTCTCACTAGCTGTTAGCATCAAATTATTTTCCTCCCATCTATTCTACTAATCGTTAAGTTCATGCCATTTTCCCATCTACTCTCACTAACTTTTGAATTAACATTAATCTTCCTCATATATTCTCACTAGCTGTTAGCATCAAATTATTTTCCTCCCATCTATTCTACTAATCGTTAAGTTCATGCCATTTTCCCATCTACTCTAGAGTAGATGGAGAGAATGTCGTTATTTCAACAGTAAAAGTAGATGGACGAGACTATCGTTATTTTAACATTTAGTGAGAGCAGATCGGGCGAGTAACATGACTTTAACAATTAGTAAGAGCAGATGGAGGAGAGTAGCGCGATTTTAAATGTTAATGAGCGCAGATCGGACGAGTAACATGACTTTAATGGTTAGTGAGAATAGATTAATTCTAAACAAATAATTAGAAATTTATTCAACCATGAGGTTTACAGGGAACCCAGGTTATGGTTGTAGAAATATTAACTGGATGTATTTCCAGGCTGAAACAAGGAACCTGATTCAGTAAATAATGATATTGATGACGAACAGATTGTATGTACCACAAAATATCGGTTTGACGTCATGAGAACCCACGTCTCTAGATTTAATTATAATGAAAAGTAATGTTATATTAACGTATTGCTATCGGAGAGTTAAAAATTCTTGTAATAAAACTCGGGTATATCGAGTAACAGATTTCTTTGATCGAAATCCATTTGCATTTAGTTATTTAATTCCCTTCGATTTACGTTAATGAAATGAAATGCTTAATAAAACCAACTGCTGCCGGAGAAGTTCCTAGTTTACGTAAAAGTTTAATTTGAGTTTCGATTTATTTGCAATAAATTTTTCTTATTTTTATGTAAGTAAAAGGGTGGTGTAAACACTGTGGTTTCTATTAAATGATAATTACTTTTTTTTCTATTGTAGTGTGTGTGTCTATCTCCAGCGGACATCCAAATCATGCATTTGTTTGGAATCTGCAAACGGTTCTACTGAAACGGAAAGTTTTCTTAAGCGACTGTTTTATCAAGACTCTAAGTCATGGATGTTTAATGACTTTGACAGTCATTTAAACCAAACGTACTGGAAGAAAGAAACTTCTGATATTTTACAATTTGACCATGAACCCAAATGGTCAGTCAGCGATGTCTCCTGGAGACCAAAGCGCAGCCATGATGGGAATGATGAACCATAATCATCATAGTGGAAGCCCGATGATACACATGCAGCCTCAACCTCACTCAACACAAATTCCCACCACTACAAATACTAGCGGAGGGCGGTGCTGTGCTGGATGTGGCGGAAAAATCATGGACAGATTCCTGTTACATGCCATGGACAGATACTGGCACACGGGATGCCTGAAATGCTCGTGTTGCCAAGCAACTTTGGCTGACATTGGTAGCTCATGCTTCACAAAGGCAGGGATGATCCTTTGTAAAAACGATTATATACGGTAAGACACCTTTGACTCATTAATTACCGTTTTTATTAATTTGTATAGGGCTGTGAATAATAGCATACAGTGTCAGAAAATGGCATGGGCGCCCTTAACTACTGTTGTTACTATTGTGGGGTCTCGGAGAGTTTGGGATAGGTTTACGCCAACCAATAAGATAGGTGTTTGTGCACGAAGCACCTTGGCAGAATGTCTCCGGAATTCTACTTCTCTCCTTCTTCCCTAAGACAAAGTATTTCATGATATTACCTTTCTGATTTGCAGGATATATAATCTGCAAATGAACATATTGTTACCTATCTGATTTGCAGGTTATATAATCTGCAAATGAACATATTATTACCTTTCTGATTTGCAGGATATATAATCTACGAATTAACATATTACCTTTCTGATTTGCAGGATATATAATCTGCGAATGAACATATTATTGCCTATCTGATTTGCAGGTTATATAATCTGCGAATGAACATATTGTTACCTTTCTAATTTGCAGGTTATATAATCTGCAAATGAACATATTACCTTTCTGATTTGCTAGGATTATATAATCTGCGAATGAACATATTGTTACCTTTCTGATTTGCAGGTTATATAATCTGCAGATGAATATATTACCTTTCTGATTTGTAGGTTATATAATCTGCGAATGAACATATTATTACCTTTCTGATTTGCAGGATATATATAATCTGCGAATGAACATATTGTTACCTTACTGATTTGCAGGTTATATAATCTGCAAATGAACATATTACCTTTCTGATTTGCAGGTTATATAATCTGCGAATGAACATATTATTACCTATCTGATTTGTAGGATATATAATCTGTCAATGAACATATTATTACCTTTCTGATTTGCAGGATATATCTGCGAATGAACATATTCTTCACGGGATGTAAGTGATGGTCTCGAAAGTTTGTAACTTTGGTTTTAAAGGTTACGATTTAAATGCCGAAAGCTTACGAAAAACTAAAAAGCAATATTCCTAATACTTGTAATAAACATCACGTAAACCGCAGATGGTTTTATATCATTCCTCATAATTTGTTCATTTTTGGATTCAGATTTTTGTCTCTTATAAGTCACTTCATTACCAAAATCAAAGGTGTTTTGAATTCGAAATGGACAGATTAAGAGTAATGTGGAGAAAAGATCAGTTTACTTGATTTTTTAAATCAAAATATGTCAGGTGGATTGGTTTCTAATGCTTCTCCAGGTCTCGATGTTGAAACCGTAACGTTTTAATGTATTTTACTGCATATAAAAATAGTGTTTCAAAGAAACTTGACTCTCATCATCCAGCTTAATTAACTAGTTTTGTTGCTATACGGCAAACTTCTCGGGCTGTGCTTTGTGGGAGACAAAAAATATATCTGAATTGCTATTTTACACACCTCTGATTTTGAATTCGAAATGGACAAATCAAGAGAAATGTGAAAAAAATATCAGCAGTTTACGTGATTTTCATCAAAGATGTTTAACTTTGTTTTTAATTAACGGTTTCAAATAGCATAACCTGTTTTTAATTATCGATTTCAAATAGCATAACCTGTTTTTAATTATCGATTTCAAATAGCATAACCTGTTTTTAATTATCGATTTCAAATAGCATAACCTGTTTTTAATTATCGGTTTCAAATAGCATAACCTGTTTTTAATTAACGGTTTCAAATAGCATAACCTGTTTTTAATTAACGGTTTCAAATAGCATAACCTTACGAGGATTTTGAGTTACCCCTTGCTTGCGTTTTTCTTTCGATGCGATTGGTGATGTCAATTTGTAACATAATAAATAAAATTCATGAGAAAACTTTCACAGTTTTGATTTACAACAGGACCCCAAAGGAGTAAAAAGGTATAGGTGTGTATACTACTTAGCGTGAAAAATAACTGGAAAACATCTCTTACAATCACACTTCTCTTTCTATCCATTCAACCATTAAACTTGCCATTGCTTTTAGTAAAGCCGCTTATAATCGATAAATGCGTTTGAAAGTAACATTTCTCTGTTCAACTCGACGTGTTCTGTTTTTCTCAAATACAGATGACTTGGAGTTCGTTTCCTTGTGATATATTTTGCACATTAACCAGCTGATTAATGTGCAAAATGGTAGCCGTGTGTCCTACTTTTATTTTGCACATTAATCCCAACTGGTTAAACAAATATTATTACATATTCTTCTTTGCTTTCACTCAATGGGTTCTTAGAATGATAAAGTACTTTGTAAAGGTGGTCGTGTGCCAGAATTTTATGTAATTATGTTTGTCTTAAGGTAATTGTAAAGTACTTTGTAAAGGTGGTCGTGTGCCAGAATTTTATGTAATTATGTTTGTCTTAAGGTAATTGTAAAGTACTTTGTAAAGGTGGTCGTGTGCCAG